GAAAGCAGAGCAGCAGATTGGGCATGGGAAGGGGATCAGAATGCCACTTGGGCTAATTTGTAGTCCCCCTGCCAAAAAGGTTGGTGCTCCCTGACATAGGAAAAATCTTATCCAAAGAAACACAGGGCATCAGGTCTCACACAGCAAATGTATTCTCCATCAAGGACAGGGACACACAACCAGTTCTATATTTATCCCGGGCTATGTTTAGCCATAAAGGCCAATCATTAATCTGAAGGTCCCTCGTCCTTACCAGAGGTGAGTAAAGGATAATTCTGAGACAAGAACCCACTGTGGTGTTGTTTCCTTCCTGTAGCCCAGCCACAAGGGGAACACAAAAAGGCAGGGCTGGCCCTTCATTTTGTAAAACTGGAAACACAAAGTGCCTTTGTGAACACTGTCCCACTGCCTGTATTCTTGATGCTACTGGAAGGACACTCAGTGTCAATATACTTTTCATCTGGGTCCTAAAGCCCAGAAGGCTCATATTGCAATCAGAGACAAAACACATGCTCATGACAGTGATAGTTCTTTTTTGCCAACGTCTTCTGAAGATGCATCTCCTGGCCTGTCACTGCAGTTTACTACAATACCCTCGTGTCGTTCTTATGAAAGCAGTTTCAGATAAATGTGTATTTTGTTAATTTTGTGAATGTATATGTTCTACACACAAAACCTGAACACCACTAGCTTGGGAAATAAAGGAACGTTCCATGGGAATCTCTGCTGCTGTTCACTTTGTTTTAGGGAGGCGAGTTGAGTGAAACACCAGTGTCATAGGGAAGTGTCTGTAGGCAGCACACTTGTGAGGTGTCCTCCTTCGTGCTCAAGAGTTCCGTTTCTTCACTAGAGTAAGCCGCAGGGTCCATGTCATCAGAATGGTATCCTGACTGATAGCCACTTGTTGGGTTGGAGGCTTCAGACATAACAGATTCGTTACTTTTACTGGGTACCAGAGCACTGCAAGAGAAACGCAAACAGAACTGAAATAAGTTCTGAGAGTTTGGAGGCCATCAGTAGGTAGCTGACTTGTGTAGATGGCTGTTTTCCATTTCAAAATTAACTATAGCATTTTGCTTCTCCATGATAATGGCTTAAAACTCTTTTAGAGGTGTATTATATGAGATCCCATTCCCCCCCATTATGTTCCCTAGGACATGTAAGTATTCTGTAAGTAGTCCATTCTTTTGCCTATACAAATTGATATTATGCTACAAAGCCCCTTAGAAGAGCATATAGATGTCATAAAATATAAACATGCGATGTGTTATAAAATACAGACAGCATGCATTGGTTATTTTTGCTTATGTTTTAATGTGACAGTGAGATCACTCTGGGTGAAGCTTCTGTCTTTCAAGATAACTTAGCATCTAAAATTACTGTAGACTACCATACTAAAATGCCTTTGCTGCTTCTGGTTCTGAAACTAATATGTGCAGCACTAGCTCAGCATCTCTCTTCATGGTTCCAGTGAGCATGTACATCCACATCTGAAAAGCTTAGTGCATCACACAGGCAGCATGAACCATACCTAAAGGGAAGCGTTTCAGGGCCTGTTTGTTTAGTTCTGCCTTCCAGTGTCTTTAGCTCTTCAGATGCAAGAACCATACCACTGTCGGTCTGATTGTCCTTTAAAGAGCCAAAGAGATGCAACTGATCAGACAGAATCACACACAAGCATGGAAAAGGAGCACAAGAAATATGAAAGGTTGTAAAAAAACAAGAGAAAGGACAGACAGACAGACAGACCTACCTCCTGAATAACTTGTACTGTGGGTACTAATGGGACATCTTCAAAGGTTTTCACGCTTACAGGTCGACTTTTTCTTTTACTACCTTGTCGATACTGACTGAAAGAGAAAAATGGTATGTGTGTGTGAGGTTATTTGGCTGCAAATCATACCTAAGATCAGAAACCTTCATCTTTCCACAGCAAACATAACACATTATGCAAACCTCAAAATATGCATTTATTGAAAAGGAGAAATTGGCCAGAAAGTGGCCTGTTTCTGACCTACTGCTGCTGGAAACCTTGATCCCCAAGCAAATTCTAAGAAATTTATTTTAAAAAACAACCACCTCCTTTTCTTAATTATGCTGGAGGTTTCATTTCCTGCAAACTTCACTTAGAAGTATAATAAACACAGGAGCCTGGATCACAATCATAAGTCTCTTTCTTTGGACTGTACTTCTGAGACCCCAAGCTGGACTTCAGACAACAACAGCAAACTCAGCAATCTGCCTCCTCTTAAACTGTGGGAGTTTAGGACCATATGCTCCACATCTCGCCTTTCTTGAGGCTCTTCTCCAAAAGAAGCTTCTGAGCAGGAGTTCAGTAACCAAATTACAAGAAAACAGCAATAGCTTATCAATCCAGCAGCAACCTCAGAGTTCCTTCTGTTTGGGAAAATAGTATGTGTGCTTTGTTTCTAGATTAACCTACCCAAAAGTGGAGTTGACCGATGCAGAAGTTGCAACAGCATGGGCTAAGGACCTTGGAGGTAACTGCTCTTACTCCTCCATTTAAATGGAAAAGTGGTGCCAATCTGTCTATTCAAATGGTGAAATCACTGAGACAAAAGTATTGCCATGTAGAGATACTCAAGTCAGTCATAAACAAGCTAGGTCATGTACCAGAAGCTGTATAGCCACATTAGTACAACTCTCCATGCAAACTAATGTACTTCTTGGCAGTGTTCGTTAGCCTGGTCAGAAGGCTGAGCTAATGTGCCTTGAGCCTTTCGGGAACAATACAGCTAGCTTGGTGTCATACAGACATGCCCCATAGAAAAGAAGGGTGGGAGGGAACCTCAGGAGGTCCCGGGCTCTGCGGCAGGATCATTTATACACAGATCATACCCAACAGTTAAGTTGCCCAACCTGTTCTTAAAAACCTCCTAGAATGGGGAATCTACAACTTCACTAGGCAAGTCTGGCCCAACGCTTAACTATCATTCTAGTGAGAAATGTTTTTCTAATATCTAACCTATGTTCCCACGCTGTGAATCAAACCATTTACCTACCCCTGGTGGACAAGGAGAATAATTAGCCATCAGCTTCTTTATAAACAGTCCTTTACATATTTTAAGACTGTTCTCATGTCCGCTCCATCTCCTCTCTTTAGAATAAACAAACAATTCTTTCACGCTTTCCTCTCAGGTCATGTTTTTTAAACCTCTTGTCATCCTTGTTCCCCTCTGGGCTCAGCTCATTGATAACTTTCATGAAGTGTAGTGCCTAGCACCAAATGCAGCATTCCAGCTGAGGCCCCACCAGTGCCAAGCAGATCAGAACAATTTCCACCCATCTCTTTATATACAACGTAATTGTTGATACATTTCAGTGTGACATTTTTCTTCTTTGCAACAGCATCATATTGTTGACATATTCAGTCCAAGGTTCACTATAACCCTCAGATCCTTTCCTGCAGTTCTAATGCCCAGCTGCTTATTCCCATTTCATATTTGGGAATTTAATTTCTGTTTCCCCAAGAGAAGTACTTTGCACTTGCAAGAGCCAAATTTCATTTTGTTGCTTTTAGACTGCTTCTCCAGTTTATCAAGATCATGTTGAATTCTGATCCTATCTTCCCAAGTACTTAACAACTCTTCCCAGCTTAGTGTCACCCTCAAGTGTATTAAGCATTCCTCTCCCTCTCATTATCCAATTAATTAATAAAGTAACTAGAATCAGACTGAGAACAGATCCCTGTGGAACTCCACTTGCTAGGGCCTACAGTTGAACAGCAAACCATTGAGCACAGTTTTTCAATGAGCTGTAGTTGTGCATTACCTTTCTAGCAATTTCATCCAGACTATTTTCCTCATTTACTTATGAAAACGTCACTTAAGACTGTGTCAAAAACCCTACTAAAGTTAAGATAACACATTTCATATTTTATCTATTAAACGAGTTATCCTTCCAAACAAGGTAACTAAGCTTTTTTTGGAATAATTTATTCTAGTTGCTTACGCTGACTGTTTATCTTTTGTTCTAGTATATTCCCATGTATTAGAGTTAAGCAGATTGATCACAATATCTCCCCTAGCCCTCCTTCCCCACTCCCCCTTTTTTATAGGATAGGCATTATGTCTGCCCTTCTTCAGTTGTCATCTGTCCTCCACAATTCTTGAAAACAACTATATCTGGTTCAGAAACTACTTCAGTTGGTTCATTAAATAAGGCCCTCTTGACTTGAAAAACATCCAACTTATCTAAATATTTTTTAACCTGCTCTTTCTCTATTCTTGATTACCCTCTTGTTATTCGTATTAAATTTTAGTAAGCCACAATTTCTGGAGACAAAAAAATAAGACATTGAACATTTCAGCCTTCTCAACATCATGTGTATTAAGTTCCTAGCTTGCCTTGTCAGCTGCAAAACTCTTGTCACCAGGAGGGGAAAGCTATATCTAAGCCATGTTTCATATTGCCCACTGTCTCTTTCAGCAGCACCCCCTCGGATGCCTTTTCACAAACTCCAGTTACTCATAGTCCCTTTAAAAGGGACCTAATAAACAACAACAACAACTTAACTCAACTTCTCTTTGGTATCAATCCAAAACTGAAATATCAACTTTCCTATTTTGTCAGTAGAAATATTAGGAGATTGGTGTAAGGTTCTTGTTAAGGATGAAAGATGTAGTGAAAGATTCACTACCATTGTAGCGACAGAGTCATTATCATTATGGTATAAGTAGCATATGGTATAAGAACCTAAACAAAACTAAGAAGGAAGACTAGATATAACTAGCCTAGACAAACTACCTATTAATACTATTGTACTTTTTGGATGAGAGTAGGAGTTCTTGAAAGGAGAGAGAGAAATACATTAACATTATTGCTGAACAGTTCAGAACTAAAAGAAATTAGATTTTGCACATTCTCTTATACAGATGACATTTATTCTTATCCTACAGACAGAATTAAATATGGACTACAGAAGCTGAAGTCTCTTCCTTTCATTTTCTCTCCCCCAACTTGAAGAAAATTGTCTAGAGGCCCCAAAAGGATGTTAACCCTATAAAATACCTAGTTCCTGCTGTGCTGTCATAATGGAATTTAGGATCACACACTTCCTCTTCCTCCCTACAGGAAACAGGTGAGGTTGACAAAGAGAGTCCAGAATCCTCTTCCATGTTCAGTGATACTGACAGAGGAAGGACAATGTAGTCTTTACCATCCTGTGGAACACAGAATAAGATCAGAGATAACTGTCGCAGGCACTCTGTGTCTGAATTGTTATAAAAGCAAAGCTATTTCACAGAATGACATATGCTGATAATGTAAGTATGAAGTTTTATCAACTTAAAGAAACATTTCAACATTTTGACACAAGATTTAGATTTTTCAGTACTAAAACAGAAGCTAATATCTAATTACATGTTTTTATTTCAGTTTAAAAATGTAGCTTCTTTCAATGATTGAAAACAAAACAAAATACTGCTTCAGAGCACGAAATAAGAAGATAACCGAAACCAAAGTGAAATTGACCAGTCTACATGACTTGGGTAAACATGCAACAGACAGCTAAAAGTAGATCAGATTTACACACACACACAAAAATCATTGGTAAAATATTCTAAACTGATATTAGTGATAATAAGGATTTTTACCGAGTTGTATAGGGACCACATACTTGTAAGCTAATAACAGTCACTGAATTTCCAGATGTTGATTTTAACACACTGATTAATGGCAAAAAATTAATCAACCTGATTAATGGAAAAAAATTAAAGAAAAACCCATTGCAGGCAAAAATAGAGCATCAACGACAAACCAGTTAGAGCACATGAAAAACGAATGCATTTTTAAAGTAGCCTAAAGGATTATAATAATTTCTTCTTTCAAGATTTAATTTTAGATTAATTACCAGAGAAATATATATGCATCTGTAGTTACTGCTTGGCTTGTAAGCAACTCTATTAGTCTAAACCAGTGGTGCCCAACCTTTTCATCCCAAGCCAGATGGGCGGTGCCAGGTCCATCTTCAGGCCAGATGAAACTGGTGTGCTCAATAGAGTACACAGAGCCAGAGTGGCAGGGGCCTGATCTGGCTGCAGTGGGGTGCACAGCCTGACCCTGATCCAGGAGGAGCAGGAAGTGGATTGGCCCTGATCCAGAAGGGGGGGGCGATGGACATGGAGTAGCCCCAATCTGGATGCACAGGGGGGTGAGGAGCAACCTGACCCCAATCAGGACACATGGAAGGTGTGGAAGTGAGGGCAGAGCATCCCACCCCTGATCCAGATGTGCAGGGTGGTGGCAGGGGATGGGACCTGCTTGTTCCAAATGTGCCAGGTGCAGGCCTGGCCCTGATCCCACTGGCCCAGGATCTGCCCATGCAGAGCTTCTACTGCTCCCCAATAACACATTTTCCAACCCATGGAGCTCCCCCTGGGCCAGATTCCATGGCTCCATGGGTTGGATTTGGCTCACAGGCTGAAGGTTGAGTGCCCCTGGTCTACACAATGCATGCTACCAATATTTGCCCACATATGTTGCTACTAATAGATATTTGTTATAGTACATTTCACATCTTCTCTATATGAAACACTAGTTCAAGCAGTTAAGACTCAAATCACATCCACAAAGGTTTAAGCTCCATCATTTCCCATTATATTAAATGAGAATTGAATACCACCAAAGAGCTGTACAATTCCGCATAGGACTGGACCTTTAAACAGAGAAATGTGTTCATATTGTCAGTTCTAGAGGCTAAGGATAGTCTGGTAGCCATGATTCAACGGTTCAGACCCTTAGATGGATATACTGAGATTTTTATAAACAATTTTTTATCTATGGAAATGAGACTGAAACCAGAAAAGGTTGATGCACTCCTTTTGGATAGAAAAACTGAATGCACATCTGAACTGTCAAGGATCTCTTTGCACAGTGTACCTAACAAGTAAAACTTATTACCACTGGCCAAATTCTGTCTTTAGTTACTCAGGTGTAAGTGAAGGTAGCATTTAGCCTCATCACTTTAAATTAGCCTGCTTTTACCCAAATGGCATGTAATCTTGATTACATATAAAGATTTACTTACTCCTTGGTTACAGAAAACAAGATATTTCTCTTCTATAACAGTACCACAGTCCTCCATCTGGATGGTGATAGTCAACAGTCAAATACATTTGACTGAGCAAGTATGCACAGAATGTACATCATATGAAATTCAAAAGACCTTTATGCTAGGAAACAAATTTACCTTCTTGTTCTGAAATTTGTCATACATAAAATAGAGTAATATTAAGTAGTCAAAATCTACCTTAGGGAAATTCCCATTAATTTCAATGGGAACAACATATATGCATATCTAAGGGCAAGCTGTGTGTAAAGAGTTTAAGCTTACATCTCATAGTTTGGGGTATGCCTATGATTGCATATATGTAGAAATGAAGCAAATGCAGAACAGCCACAGAAATAAGAGTCTATCTATCCTTGCTAATTATATTGCCCCTTTAAAGACAGTCAAGCGTTAAGTAACTAGGATAATGTCTTTACGGTCATTTCACTGCTGTGAAATAGGGATATGTCATTATCCTCATTTTACAGATAGAATACAGAGTGAGAGATATTACACCCCAAATTTTCAAAAGGTATTTAGACAAGTAACTCCTACTTAGTTTCCCATATCCCACAGCAATAAATGGAAGTTTGCTTCAAAAATTCTTTTGTAGATCTGGGCCTAAGTGACTTGTGTACAGTGTAACAGGCAGCTTGTGGTGAGGCAAGGAACTGCATACAAGCCTCAATCTCAGATTAACATCTCAACCACTGGAGTGTGTTCAGCAGGGATCCAGGTTTTCTGTTCACTACAGAAAAATGCAATAAAACTGGATTTTATCTTTTTAAGGAGAAAAACCCAGATTTTCTTCTTTAATGGAGAAAAAACATAGGAAAGGGTGGGTTTCCCCTTGCAGGCTGGCAGAGTTCTAGCCTGCAAGAGGCTTGGGGGGAGCAGTCAGGCAGGGGGTGCCATGTGCATAGGTGCACGCACACATGCACATAACCACCAGACAGCCTGGAAAGCAGCTCCCGCAGCTCCCCACAGGTAAGTCTGGTGGGGGAAGGGGAGAAAGGAGGGATTGAGGCCCCCATAGGGAGGGAGGGAGGGAGTTGTGCGGGGCTGGGGCTGTCGCTCAGCCAGGGTGGTACCTGGGGCTTGGGGCCCAGGGTCACGAGCAGCTGGCAGGTCCTGGGTACAGTGAGGGATGGAGTTGCAGGTGGCTCCTTGGGAGGGTGGCAGGGGGGGCTGGCTCCCCACCTCTGCATGCACTCCTGGGGTGCAGGGCCGCTCAGATTTGTGGGACAGGGGCAGATGCAGGCTGCCTGCCATGGGCGTGGGGCTCCCCACTCTGCTGACCTCCCCCTGGGGCCTCCGTGGCCCAGTGGGCAGAACTCAGCGTGGCAGGGTACAGCAGGGCAGGGAAGCTCTGTGCCACCACCTGGAGCCCCATGCTGCCATGACGAGGCACCGCCTGCCTGCCTGCCTGCCAGCAGCAGCAGTGGTGGCATAGGGTTGTGCCCCATGCTGCTACCAGGTGGGCAGGGGGCACCTCATCATGGCAGCATGGAGTTCCTGGTGGCAGCACCAAGCTTCCCCATCCCACTCTACCCTGCCATGCTGGGTGCTACCCACTGGGCTGTGGAGGCCCCGTGAGGAGGTCAGCAAGGTAGGAAACCCTGAGCCTGCAGTAGGCAACCTGCATCCGTGCCCTGCCACCCCGCCCCATGATCCACTCCAACCATCCCAGCCATGGGGGAGGGGGAGCCAGGCTCTGCTCCCCACTTGGGCCCATAGGCGGCAGCTGGGACTCAGGCACTGCTGCAGGGGGGCAGGGGGATGTGAAGCTGTGCCCCTGGCCACATAGCCCTGGCAGGGCCAGGGGAGCTGTAGGTGAGAAGTGAGGGGAAACATGGCATAGGCAGGGCACCGGCATATCAGGGTTGTTCAGTGCCACAAAGGGTGCGTGCATGTGTTCCCTCTCATGGGCAAAGGGGGCAAGGAGAGCTTTAATTTTCCATGATAAACCCAAAAATCAAATCCCAAAATTTAAAGGTATTTAGAATTTATTTTATTATAGTAAGTGAGGCACTGGTAGGCTTCCAAACTGCTTTAAAATTGTAAATATATCAATAAAATATTATGTTCAATTGATACCTCTACACACACACACACACACACACACACACACTGCTCTATCGATACATAGTAGGGGTGTGGGAAGTGTGCCCTATTCAATTCAAATTTGGATTCGGCCTGAATCAGGGACAGTGATATGATTAGTTGATTTGGATCACTGCCCCAATTCGATTTGGCCAAATCCGAATCTGAAGATTTGACACCGATTCGGCTATAGACACAGCTTTAAAAGTTTTTTCTGCATACCTTGAGGTACCAGGCATGGCTCATGATTGCTGCAATGCTGGTGTGCATGGAGCATCTCACAGGAGTGTAAGGGACCCCTCCATGTGCTCAGCAGCAAACTTGGAAGTAGACCAGAAGTACTTCCAGTCCACTTCCAGGTCTGCAGGGAAGCGCACCAGAGCCCCCCACCCCCTACACACCCCCTGGCTCAGCAATTGGCCACAGGGGGACCCCGGATGCCCCCCCAGACCCAGGACACACCAGTCACCAATGCAGAGGGGCATGAGGGGGCTCCCTGGCAGAGGGCTGGAAGTGCTTCTGTTCCACTTCCAGGTCTGCTGCCGAGCACGCTGAGGAGTCCCACCGCACTGCTGTGGGACACTCCATCTGGCCCAGCATCGCAGCACTCACAAGCCCCTGCTACCTAGAGGTATGTAGAAAAAACATTTAAAGGTGTCTCTATGTCTGAATCAATTTGGAGGGTTGAGATTCGATTCGGAGAGATTAAAGGGTATTCCGATTTGATTTGGATTTGGAGATTCGGTCACTGAATTGGGCAGAATTGAATCGGGGACCAAAGCTTCGCACAGCCCTAATAGATAGGTAGATTAGATAGAGTGGCGTTTCATTTTAATCATGGAAAAAACACAGATTTTGGGGTCTTAATTACAAAATTTGCATTTAAAAAAAAAAAACCAGAAAATTTGCTATTTTTAAATGGAGAAAACCAGGATTCCTGGTCTTCAGTGACCCAGATGCAGAGTAAAACAGGCACATTGGCAGGGAGCAGTAAAAAGACCTAGAGTACATTTACCATAGACCTCTGTGAACCATGATTTCTATTATTTGCTTCAACTCAGGGTAACAATGCAATAAATGAAGGCCCAACAAAATGTTATACAAGTCAATGCTCTGTTTACAGGATTCCATGCAGGAAGGAAAGTATCCAGCCATATTTTAACAGGAAAAAGAGCATTTTTCACATACCCGGTGAACATTTGCTTGTAGTAAGTTTCCCAGGTGTTCCACTAACTCAGAAAATGTTGGTCTTTGCTTAGGATCACCATGCCAGCAGTCCAGCATTGTCTGGTACCTTGAGGGATAAGACCACGACAATATCAAGGCAATGAGGACAGCAGATTCTGCTATTTCAAAAGATTGCTACTTCTTTAAGGTGCATCTGCCTAGCTTCCAATTCTTACATTTCTGGGGTTGTATAATCTGGTGCTCTCATTCTTGTTCCCTCTTTCAGTCTTCTACAAAAATCTTCATCAATTTTCACACCAGGATAAGGTGAAGCTCCTAAGAGGACAACAGTGGCACTTAAAATTCTTGGCCTTACTATCATTCAACTACATTGGTCATGAAACAACTGCTATTGCATGAACAAATCAATCATTTAGATATACAGTATTTGCATATTCAATCACCTAGGTTGCATGCAGTCACTGTTTGTAAAAATTATGCACACAATGCCCTACGTAAATTATATGAAAATCCACTTCAGATGTCTGTTCCTGAATGTTGAATTTGATTTTTTTTGATGGGGGAAAAAGAAACCCTGAAAATATGTATTCCCTTGTAGTTTTGAAATTTCACAATGTCAAACATTTCTACAACATCCCGCAAACATACTTTACTGATTCTTCATCTGGTTCTATTGGTCACATTTGAAGAAGGTTCAGCATACCAATAATAAAGGACTTACCCAATGAAAATATTTCCCACAGCAGAACCCCAAAGGACCATACATCACTCTGAATGGTATACACTCTGTCAAAAATGGTTTCTGGTGCCATCCATTTTAAGGGTAGTCTGGCCTGAAAGCATTGGTAAATACAATTAAACTTTAATAAAAAAAGACAAGGGAAGGAAAACATTCTATGATTCTGAAAAGAATGAATGTTGGGATAAAGAATAATTAGTACTGCTTCAAATTAAATGGTTCCAATTAGTCCATGAAACTTACATCTCCTTTTCTGACATAATCTGGATCTTTGTAAATGTCTCGTGCCAAGCCAAAGTCACAGATTTTGACCACGTTATTGTCTGATAAGAGGATGTTGCGAGCCGCCAGGTCCCTATGGATGCACTACAAAGAGAAGAAAATATGGTTATAGGTTGGCTGTTGTCACAACCCAGTCCAGAAGTTGTTCTATTTCTTGTCTGTGTTGAGCTCACCCTCAAAGGCCAGTTACTGCTTGAACCCTATTAAGCAAAATAAAGCCCAGAATCAGTTACTGATTTTAAGGGCTTTTTTCATTATTGTAACAGATTTTTGTCCTCAAATCATTCTGAGCCAAGTTAAAACATATCTGTGCAATGAGAAGGGCTTTTCAAGTTAGGTAGTTAATTAGCCAAAAAGTGACAAATTAAATTAGGATATAATTACCACAGGTATACATTCATTTTCATCAAATCCATGCTTCCCATCATGTCTGTGACAGGCTGCTCTTTTTAATACACACACAGGTTTAAAATGCTCTACTATCTCATGTTAAAATTATTCTCTACTGGAATCAATTACAGCTGGAAATCACCATCCTCTTACTTGTAAAACCTATCATCATAGACTACACACTAGAAACCTACAAGCCAAGCATTCAAGCCTCTATAGCTTGAAATAGAAAGCTAGACTGTAGCTGAAGATGTTAATCTCACATCCTTCATGGTTCAGGCACAGAAAAGGGACACATAACACCTATATGCACATCGCCCAGCAGGCTGTATGTACAGGATTGTTCAATGCAATATATTTTTGAGGACATGCATGTTTAAGGACTGATGCAAAGAAACTTAAGTCTTCCTCAGAGAGCTGATTTTGTATTCTAATGGATCCCACCATTAGGGCATATCTCTAGCCTAACTTTTCTCTTCCATTATCTAATTTTTTTTGTTTTTTTATCCTACCACTTCCAAAATAAAGCAGAATGCCTCTTTCTTCCTGAGGTATTGTTAGCAAAAATATTTCCTAATGTTTATCCATTATTTGGCCAAATTATAAACACTCAGGGCCAAATCCTAACAGGGCACCTACAAAAGCCCAGAATGCAATGGAAATGTTGCACTTCCATTGTGTCATAGGCCAGGAAGAGATCCATCAAGGAGATATTTACACTACTGTATCTGCATTCATTTATTTGCAGTGTCCTACATGGGAGTTTCCAACATTTACAATGAGCTACAGAGAGATTTCTTCAGAGCAAAGTCCATCTACTCTAGCTTGGCACCATTTACCGTGAAATGGTCCCTAGTTCTTTTCAACTTTCTTCATAAAACATTCCCCTGGACCACTTAAATCATTCTTCTATGAATTGGTGACCATTGAACTTTACACAAATTGCTAACATTCCAGTCAATAAAAGTACTTTGCAAGGACTGTTTTGCTTTGTAATATTAACTACTCAGATACATTTTAGAGGATTCAAAAAAGTGATGTGGATGGTTGCCAGTCCAAAGATGAACACACTGCTTCTGTATAAAGAACTGCTAATCATTTCCTACAGTGATTACTTATATTTAAAATGCCATTTTCCTGAGAGGTTTCTTACTTTGCGTGATGCCAAGAACTCCATCCCTCTGGCCACCTGAAAACTATAACAGATAAGGTCCTCCAATGTCAGAGAGTTCTTGCAGAGATCTTCAGAAGTTGCTGTAAGGAAATAATGACACCAGTCAAACATGTTCTCCACATCTGATTTCGCCTTGAGATATTTTCTTTTGTATATGATACCATAAACCTCCAGTTTGCACGCTATAGCCCTGTGGTAAAGTTTACATTTTACACTGCTGGGCAAAAAATACAGATTCAGATTCCAGCCTTGCTTGCTTTCTCATTTCCAGCATTTACAGGAGCTGAGTGAATTGCAAAAAGCAGCACACAGGAAATGGAAAGTTGTGTAGCTATCCCAAGAGATGAACAAGAAGTGGTGCAACAGAGAGATCCCATCCAGTGCTCATTAGGGGATAAGAGGTCAAGGGAAATATTTTCATGGATGATAAACAAACTGCTACGTGGGGGAGTGATTAATTTAATCTCATCCTCTAGCAATCTGAAAAAAAATCCATAACTATGCATACTCAAGCCCAGATCCCAAAGGTATTTAGAAACCTAATTCCTAGGAGCCAGAGCATATTCCTGAAACAGCCACTAAGAAAATGTTTAGAGAGCCTGTATTAAAGGAAATGAAGACAGCCTTAGTCTAGGCTGTCTCTCTCTGATATCTGTTCCGGGGACAGGGGAACAAATCAATAAGCAGAGTAGCAGATGGAATTTTATAGTTAGTTAAGTTCTGGCAAAAAACTCATGTGAAATTCAGCTGGTGTTTTCATAATACGCTGGCACTCTCAAAATACACGCGCGCACACACATCTCTAAACTGTCACCATGATGTCTGCGGTTCTAACTGCCCAATTCCAACATAAGCTCATGGGAATTCAAGACAAATGTATTAGAAATATAATCCTTGGAAACTCTGAAGTTACCCTAAGCTACACTGAAGAGAAAGAGATTCTAAATTACAGTGGTCCTCAAATTAGAGTTTTGTTCAACCTGATCTGCTGCATATCAAGCTTCCAGCCTGATTCAGCCCTGCTTACCATGTTCTAAGGCAGGTCCTACAAAAGAACAATTATCCAAAACCAAATGAGGACATATATCTTACCTTCTTCTTCCTCCACATCACTGAGTGATCTCTCCTCCACAAACCCTGAACTGGCTGAGCTTTGGCTGCTTGCGATGCTATTGAGGCGGCACTTCAAGTTTGCTGAGAGGTCACCAACATAGTTTTCTTTTCCCTGCCTAAATCTGGCACTTTTAGCCTATTAAGCGGGGAGAAAACAAATCCGAGTTTTTTCAAGACTTTTTAAACAGGAAGTGACATTTCACACTGCGTAAAGCAAGGCCTCACTGAGAGACAGAGTAGAGAGAAAGAGCCATGCAGAAGGCACTAAGTAGGCTCCTAACTTCCCTCCACCTGGATACAGCAGCTACCCACTGCAGTCTTCACACATCTAGTTGCAAAGAAGCAAGGCAGAGCTCATAAGTATCTGATGTTACAAAAGGCTGCTGCGGGAGACAGATTTTGGCCTGCCTTTTGCCGTGTCATTATGCTCCACAACTTGCTGGACGAGCATGCACATAGTGGGCGCATCTACAAGTACATATTAATGTGAAGCAATAAACTCCAGCACGTATCACACCAGATTTTATTGCATGCTGTGTTTACACGTGTCCAGGACCATGGCAAGTCATGTTGGAGCAGCCCCAACTGGCAGTGGGCCCAGTGGGTCAGCCTGACAGCCTGGGACTGCTCTGACATGGCTCAACGTGTTGTGTAGGGGCTAGCTTTGGAGCATGAAGGTGCTCCAGTGTGGTGCTAGCCAGCAGGTAGCCCCCTGCACTGAAGTACCCTTGTGTCCCAGCCATCCAGGTCAGCATCTACACGTGTTGCTCAATACAAAAAAAAACCTCTGCAGCAGGGTAGGACTTGTATTTACAAGTCCTACCCTGCTGCAGAGTTTATTAGTTTCCTGTGGCCTAACAGTGCTGCGTGCATAGACACTGAGATGTTTACCACAGAGCTAATTAGGCAACTCCACAGTAAACATCTTGTGTAGATGCACTATTTTAGAAATTCTCCCCTCACTCTGCTCAGTCTCTTCACTCCAATCCCCTTTCTTTTAGTCCTTCTATAAGTCCTCCCTGCTGTACTTCAACCTGGGCTGATCCCTTCCAGCTCCCAGCATCTGATTTACAGAGCCAACAGACTATCTTCCCTACAAATCCATTGTCTTCTGCTTCAGTTTTGTGATAGTCATTGCCAAAGAGCATGACTTTCCCGCCCCCATTGGTTCTCATAATCCCCACTGTTTATTTGCAATGTTCAACACCCTCCTCACATTCATCTCTTGTCTTCATTCTCTTCTCTTTCTCTGCAGTAACCAGACAGAGCAGATCACTGTTTATCCCCTGCACACAAATACTTCCCATTTCCACAGTCTTAAAATCCCTCTGACACTGGCTTTCTCTGGGCTCTGAGGAAGACTCCTCAGTCATAATGCTCAGTATTAAGTACCCAAAATCATGTACATTCATGATTTTCATAAATGGCCTGACATTCAAAGGCAATGAACAACCCCAGTTCCCGCAGAGGCCCACATATCCCAGTATGGAAAGGCTGGTTTTTGCCCCTCTCCCTCCAGCTCCCTGTTTGTAAAGCTGGGATCTCATCTAGGTAGTTAAGTCTTTTTCAAAAAGTTTTGAAGATAAAAAGGGTGACATGAATTGGCTGGCCGAATTGATTTATGAAGAAAAATGAAAAGTGCCCACTACGTGTAGTCTAATTTAACAATGAAAATATATGATATACAATAGGACATGACTGTGTAAAGTTTTTTGAGTGGTGTATACACCATGCATGGAATGCAGTTATTTAAGTGGGCATGGGTAGTTTACCTGAGAACAGTGCAAAGGAAATAAGAAAGGAAAAAAATTCAGGCTAATTATCAGGAAAACCTTCCTGACAGATATGGCCAAAGGTAGAATAGGCTGCCAAGGGAAACAGTGCAAGCCTTGTTTCTGCATATTTAAAGCCAACAATAACAAACTAACTACATTGTACAGGCAGGGAGATGGACTGTAATGTCTTTTGCCATCTCTGATTTCTATTATAAGACCCAAATATCATTATTACTATAGTGTCCCTAGAATTCCCAGCACACTTTCCACTCAGAAAAGAGCTTTTAGAATTTAAATTTAGTCACTCCTTAGCCTATACTCTTACTCTTGACACTAGCAGCAGTCTGTACCTTGTAAGGAATAAATTCACTTCTCTTGCTCTTTAAATAAGCTGACAAATTTCCAAATTTGCAGTATTCCACAATCACCATCAGTGGGCCTGTATAAAACATGAAGCAATTATTTAAGAAGGGCAGTTTATTTTCTAGTCCACCCTAAAACTTAACTTAAAGCTAGAAATATCTGTTGTTTTTAAAAAGCATTCTGCCATTTTTCCAAATGATTTTATTGAAAATGTCTACAATATATTCAGTAAAAATCTATTTAAAGTAGGACAATGATGACCTTCTTTTTTGATCAACTTCTGTCTCCCTGTTGGATAGAAGGAATCATTAGTTTGCACTAAACTTTCAACAGCAGAGACCTCATTTTGAAAACATGCAAGAAATCTTGTGTTTCTATTTACCTGCACAAATACCTTGGACTACCATGCACACCAAATTATTTTGCATATAGGATACCCATTAAAAAATCTAAATTGATAGCAGCATGCACTGTAATATAAATTAGCCACCAGAGTAAAGTATTACGTACAAAACATAACCACATCATTTTTATACATTTTTGCATATAGAAGCCTGCATGTTTAAAAAAAATGTAATCCCAATTATGTAATTTAAGATGCCCAAATGTTGTATTCAATGCCCATACTGGCACAATTACACACTTAGCATTTGTTAAATTATAATTTAAAGTCCTGGGCATGGATCTCGTATTAGGGCAACAACTAATATATCACCTTAGAAACATTTATAGCACTATTCTTTTCCCCAATACTGTATGACAGTTATTGAACAGCAAAAAGGAAATTGTAGGCTTGTTACATTAATAACCAAATCACCACTAAGCCAGCTTCTTTAGAATATTATTACAAAAGTTCTTTGCACTGAATTTCTTCTCAACTAGTACACAAAAGTTTGGGAGGAGTGTTACAGTTTGTCGGTGATTTAGTCTATTACAGGCACAGGAAAAACTGTACTTGTGAAATGTTGGCCGAGATTTAGATTCCAAACCCACACAGTATGTTTGCTTTCAGAGCAACTGAAGTACAGACAAGTAAAGTGACTTTCTCAAGGTGACATAAGAGTTCAGTGATAAGGCTGGAAACAGAACACAGGGCTGTTGAGTTTCCATCCCATCATCCAGGCACTCAGTCCATAGTCCCCCATAATTAGGGATCTACCAAAATTGCAGCAGAAGCGCATGGTACAGCGGTTCCTTTAAATTTGCAGTTTTCCTCATGTGTCTTCTTGTTGCTAATTGGTGGAGGGGCCCTACCACTCACCACTTGCTCATGACTGGCAGGGAGGTGAAACCCATGGCTTTAAATGTGGTGCAGTTTTTGCTTCCCACTGCTGATTGGCTGAGGGGTGCTGGTGGCCCTGCTGCTTGCTGCTGACTGGCCACGAGGCAAAAATGGCGCCATAGTTAAACCAGCAGCTTTCACCTCCCCAACAATCGGAGCAAGCAGCAGCCCCCTGCCCAATCAGCAGTGGGGGCTGTGCAAGGGAAACTCCAAGATAAGAAGAGATGCCACACACTGCACTTCAGCCACATTTTCATAGCCCTGGAATAATTATAGTGAAAAGTCAAACCCTTGTTATCCATTCTCCACTAATCAGAAATGGCTTCTCTGAATTCGTATGGTAACTCCAACCACTAAAATAAAAGTACCAAAACTTCTCCATCTATTGCTCACCTCCTGGTTTTGTGCAGGCACCAAGCAAATTCACAACATTGAGATGATGACCAATATGAATGAGGATCTTGAGCTCTGACATAAGTGCCCTGTGTTCACTGTGTGTAGCGCCCTCTGTAAAGACAAGAAGTTATAGGGCTGAACAGTACCAAAGGCATAAAGGATTTTCCCTCTGCTAACTATATGATTTAATATTTTTGAACATTTGGTAAATGTATTTGCAGGTTAACCTAGGCCAGAAATGCTTCAGGGTGCCAATACAAACTGTTCTCATGGGACTGTTGAGACGTACATTCTTCCACACCGGACAGCCAGAGAAATGCATTAGAGAGTTGGTTTTGCTTTGTTTTGAAACAACATTCCTCAACCATTGCCAAAGGTAAAACATCTGACAGGACAGACAAATTATCTATACTACTATGGTAGTAGCTCCTTTGTCCTATGCAACCTTTTAAAGCAGTCACTAGCCTCCTATCTGGCATAGCAGTCTGAATCCATCAAGCATTCAGTCACCAAAAGCACAGGCATAACTACTGTGCCATGTGCTTTAATGGAGTTTGAGTGCCCAAGGCACTCGAACACCATTGGTGTGGTATTTGACTGGTCTATGAAAGAGGGGAGATAGGAAAGGGGTTGAGCCAGGACAGCCCACCACACAATCGAGGAAGACAGATTCCGCTTGTCCCACCCCAAATTCCTGACTCCTAGACAGAAGACTGGCAATTACAAATACACTGCATCTTTTCCACAATGGATTTAAATCTTCCTCTGTACCTTTAAGCATTTTGACTGCAACAGTCCTGCAGGTAGCAGTTTTGTCAATTCCAAATGCATTTGCTTCTATGACTTGCCCAAATGCTCCACGTCCAAGAGGTTTACCTGGTAAAAGAAGGTGTGCAGATTTGGACTTACTGTCAAAGTAATGGATAAAAAAATCCAGGCTAATTTTAACTAATTTAGTCAATGTGAATAGGAATGGACCTCCTCCCTTGCATGTGCATGGAGGTTGGAGGGAGGATGCACAACAGTGATTATCAAACTAGCTGTTTTTGCACAGTTGAGTCAGATGAGACCACAATCCTAGCATCTCTTGGCCCACAGAAGTGAACTAATGTACTCCAGTGTGTTCTCGCAACTGTATGCACGTTACCCACAATTCCACCAGAGTTACCACCTGCAATGTTTCCTTTCTTCAGCCCCTATATACAATATATGCTGTGCATTAAAGCCCCAGTGATGTCAGTTTAGTGCAGTGGAAACATACCTAGCTTTAACCGGTCTCTAGGAAACTCCCATTTGCTGGCATCATAGGGCAGGCGTTCACAGTGTTCATCTAAAGGGACTTCATCAGGATCCATAATGATTGACAAGTAGCCAGTCTTCAGTTCCCCTTCATTGGCCTAGAAAACATTATCAATTCCAGTCACATAAAACTATATTTCCTGGCTGAACAGTGCTGTTTACAAAATTATCACTTCTCAGTTTTTTCAAGTTTCAGAGAAACGTAAACTTGTATTTCCTCCCCCCATGCCGTCAAAAACATAAACATGGATTCTCGTTAATTAAATACCCTTTTAATAATCAAAACAGTTTAAGCATTTTTTCCTCCAAGTGCCTGTTCAATTAAGCCAAAAATTCTGCACCCTCAGTTCCAGGCAACACTGTTATGCCACTGAGAGAAAAATATGTGACTGTTGATATAAGAACAATAGAAAGAAACAACACAAATGAACTCTAGTCAACTTTCATTTGTCATGCAAGACCAGTGCCAATAGGACAGTCAGAGAATGATTTTGTTACCCGCTTAACGGTCCGGAGGATGATTACAAGAAGCAACCAGAAAAACATGGCAATCACTGCAGTGCCAACCAGGATAATGAGCTCCAGATTTGTTTTCTCTTCAGCGCCTGGGAAGAAATAAATGAAGATTTCATTGATAGCTGACAGCTTATTGGTTTAGGTCATTAGCCAAAGCACTAAACAGAGTTCTTTGTTCTGAAGATTCATTTTAAAAGCACAACATGTAACAAGCCAATTACGACAAGACAAAACCCCTGTCTAGCATGTTGGAGTGCTGGGCCAAGATCTATGCTGATTAACACACCATGCAATGCCACTAAAGTTAGTAAGAAATGGCATTGTCCATGCAAAAAGTTAGCAAAGACTTGGTCCACTGTTTTCTCATAAGCTTTATGAATCCAACAAATTGGTGTAAAATGTTAGTTTACAGCTACGCAACTTCACTGATATCAAGTTTGTTTCTAAGAAACACAGTTATACATCAGTGTATATAACCAAGAGCAGAATTTCAAGACAGTAATACCAGTTTAAAAGTAACTGGTATTCTGAATATCCCAAACTGAACATTTTTAAACACAAAGAGAATTACCTTTCTACAAAGAAGATTCAAAGAAAATGCATCATGCCAAAATTGAAAAAGTTGTAAAGATGTCCTTTCCTATGATGAAATGACTCTACACGTCTTTACTTACTAAAATTGGAATGTTAGGAGGTAGTTCCTGCAGTACTAGCTGAGAGAGTATGTCAAATAGGAAGGATGTATTTGAGGGATCCTTATTCCAGGATAAAAGGAATAAACACAGTACCACTTGCACATCTGATAACGCAACCCTCATTTCTTAAAGTGCGTTCCTGTGCACTTTAGCCCTTATGGCATAGCTTCTCCCACACAATAGCACATTGTTTTTTTCCATTGTACAGCCCATGATGAGCAGCAACGTAAATTCCTTAGCATGAAACAATGCATCATAAACATGCTTCCATGTTTCACAAAGCTATCAGATCATACTCCAAAGAGTTATTTTTATTACATGAGCTGAAATCAGGCATTTACATTAAGTTTATTATAGATCATTTCTGTCCAACAAAAATATGCTACCCAGAACCTTTAATATTACAACAGGAATTACGAGAACAACAAAATATCATTAGCTCAAGTCTAATATGACTTATTACCTTGAATTAGGAGACAAGTGTTCTTGAAGTATTTAGTAGATTTCTATAAATAGTCAAGGAGCTTCTGACCAATTTTTTTTCCCCAATGGAAAGGTCAAATGGATTCTAATTTGTCTAAAATTTAGCATGATCATGTATCAGCATTTGGTTCAGCTTTTGCATTCAGAAAAAGCAGTGCTGGAATTGAATAATCAAGGAACCAGTTTTGCAAACATTAGTTACTGGGGCATGGTGCCCACCACAAGAAGTAGTTCTAATCCACTAAACCCAGCAGAAAGCTACTAGTTCAGCAAAGACCTTACAGTCACTTTCATCATTAAGGCAATCAGCAATGCACATAAACGTATACTAATGTATAAGTATATGTTTAACACATACTGCCTTCATTAGGACTCAGGTATGTGGATAAAGGTAATCATATGCTGAAGGATTTTGTGCATTTGCTGCCTAAAGACTAGAATTCGAAATGAGTGAAAAATGTGGTGGCACTCTCAAAGTTTCCAGGTGGCAGAAGGAGCAGCAGCAGCCATGGGAGTCAGGGAGAAGTTGCCTGGCCTCATGCCAGTGGTGGTATTTGGATGCCAGAGCTTGCATGTACTTCTGAACACTACAGATTGACAGTTTACTGATAGAGCTTGGGGCTAGGGACAGACATTCAAAAAGCCTGAGCCTGAACTGATTTAATCTTGCAGGTTAGTTTAACCTGACTAGGCTGAATCAGTTTGTAACTGCACATACATCCCAGAAATGCAGGCACATTTCTGTTCCCCCTGCCTTCTGACCAGCCCACCAGGGAACTGATAACAGTCTTTATCACCCCTAACTCTGTGTTTATCACCCCATCAAGAAAACAACAGAGGGACATTACCAGCTACCTGTTGATTTTGCCTTTGTCCTGTCTGCCACAGCACGGACAGTAGCCAGCATGTGGTCTACTACCTAATGCTAAGATGTGTCTGTGTAAGGCAGAGGGGACAGGGCAATCCCTATTCAGCACGGAGTGGGCAGAGAAGCGGGGAGCAGGAGGAAGCCAGGCAGATGCCTGCAGTCTCTGCTGATCTCCAGCCAGGGAGCAAAGGCCAGCTCTGCTGTGGAGCAGGGAGCCCAGGCCAGAGAATGTGCTGGGATGCTGGGGGAATCCGGTTTGTCTTAAACCAACAAGGGGTCTGAGACAGACATTGCATAAACTGGTTTGACCCAAATCAGTTAAGTCTGGCACTACATTTAACCAGATTTATCTCAAACCGGTTTCAGCTATTTTCAAACTGGTTTATGTACACTGAACATCTGTTCTGTTACAAGTTTAAACCAGTTGCGGATCACTTAACCTGGTTTGTGTATAATGTCTGTCCCTAGCCTAAGTGTCTCCCAGTCTCTCTCTTTTCCTTCTGACATCTTTCACCTACACAGGACTGATGGGACAAACGAAAGTGCTTCCCCCAAAACACCATCATTTTTGTCACCAAGATGGGATAACACTCACAGCAGATTGTACTTGAACCTCCTTATGCTTTCTTTAATACCTCAACAACAGTGATATAATTTAAATGTCAATAATATTAAACAGTATCACTGAACACAGAGTGGAGATACAAATGAGGTATGTCATGGGCATGGATTCAGGCACATATCACTGCATTTGTGGATAATCAAGCTACATTATCAAGGTTCCCTCTGAAACCATAAAGGCTAGAGACTTCTTTAGCGTGTTTTAATAAAATCTGTGATTTTATATAAAGCAAAACATCACCCTCAACAGCTGATATTACCAGACTGCCAGGCTGGTATGACCTCCATCTAACCTGGGCCTAATTCCCTTAAATCTTTATTCATATATGAACGCCATTCATTTTTGCATAAGAAAATGTTCAGCAAGGCAGTAGTAGTATATTTAGCGAACCTCGATCTGGATATTATGCATAGGGTTCTTTTTCTTTTAGTAGTTATAATTTCATGCACAAATAGTTAACAGAAGCAAATCTATACTAACCTTCTACTGCAAAATAAGTTACTGCCGTCTTGCATCCAAGGACATTGCAGGCAAGGCAGGTGTAGAGACCTCCATCTTCTTTCCTTACTCGACGGATGGTTAGAGTTTTGTTCCCATCTTTCAGAACAATACCTGAAAAAAATTAATGGTTCTTAATTCTGCTTTATGCCTTGGATTCAGCCCATTGCTAAGAAATCAATAGTTATCCCTGTTCTATACTTTTGCATAAATAAGTATTCACACATTTTGTTATTTACTCAGCTCTAATTGAGTTCAGTGGCTAGTCAAAAAATAAATAAATAAATAAAAAGGACAAAAATGGTTATACCTGTCATTAAAAATAAAATTGGCAGACCAAATTTTAACAGAAATTTTGCTTTAAGTTCAAGCAATTATTTAATTTTTTTAAAAAAATCAGAGAAACTTTTAAAATTAACTTATTTTTAAAAATTAGAAATGAATCATTCTAGTAAACAAAAATTTAAATTTTTAATGTTTTTTTTTCTCCAAACAAACAATTTGGCCAAAATCAAAATTCATTTGCAAAACATTTCAATACAGCTTTACCAGCAATTTTCACTGGAAAAAAAACAAACAAACAAACAAACAAAGAAAGCTTCAGTTGAAAACTTTTACCCCACTCTGAATAAAATGTTTTGTTAGTGACACATTTGGCATCTAATTTGCACTTGAACACTACTGAAAGTTTTGTGAAAAAAAATACACAAGAGATTAACAAGGAAGCATTTCCTCACCAGAGTCTCCAACAAGGGAATCATTGTTTTTGAACCAAGTGATGTTCGGAGGAGGAATTCCATTCGCCGTGCAGGAGACTTCTATGGTTTCACCAATATTTGTTGTTTGATTCTCAAGATTCCCTACCAATGTGGGTGCCATAGGCTCTGATTGCATGAAAATAAAATGCAAACACAGATTTAAGAATACTTTTCTTGTATCACCAGGGAAGTCCCCTGTTTTAGATGTGATGATGCAAAGAGTCCCAGGTTGCTGAGGAGGAAGGAATTGGCTAAAGCTGCCTCCTCTCTCGTCTCCATATCCACTCCCACTACAAGAGGTGTAATAATGCTGGGTCAGGACAGCCTGTGAAAAAGGGCCTAAACACAAACATATATATAAGTACTTTCTTCAGTTCAGATCAATATCAGCCAGGATTGCAAGGCCCCACAACAAGGTTTTTCTTTTTGGGTCAAGTCAGTCAATTAGCACTCTGCATCTAAAAGCAAGCAATCACTTGTATTTTAGGGGGTCTAATCCTGGCCTATTTTTATTACAATTTGTTGCTGCAGTTTCAAACCAAAGTTCAGTCAAACAAAGCATCCTCATTATCATCACCACCAGCATAAGCATATATAGATGAAGGCTGGGCAAGCAGGGCACCACAGATTCAAGATTGGTGGCCACCACTACTGCTGTGACCTCCGGTCCAGCCATCTTCACTGCCCGGAGCATAAAAGCTACTTGTTATACCTCTGTATGCAGGTGCTTTGCAGTGAAAAAACACAAAGCTTTCAAGATGTTATTTTGTACAGCTATGTCTCTACATTAAACCTCATATTTGAATTGTTTGCATGACAATTACATTTTTCCCCCCAAGCCCTGTACACTAACCTTTAACTGAGTACAGTTTTAGATCAGTCAAATGTTAGACCTTCAGGCTCCCACAGGTTTATACTAGTATGCATTTTTAATAATGTACTGTGGTTTTCATAAATGGGTTCATACCTTGAACAGTAAGGTGCTTGACAAGACAGTGTCGTGTTTTGGTCTTTTTGTCCTGGGCTATGCAAACATAATCCCCTCTATCTTGAAGAGAAATGTTACGGAAGATGAGCTCTATGGTCACATTTTCACCATTGCTCTTTGAAACCGTGGTATTCAGCTTCAGGAGAGCATCCAGGTTCTTGCACACTGGCATTGGTAAGCCTCCAGCAGGAGTTCGTGAAGTATGAGTGCGGAGTTTGTACCAGGTTAAATTTTCAAAAGTGAATTTGTCTGCAGTGCACTGCAAGGACATATTATCCCTCTCTGTGAGCTGGTGTCTAGGTTGAAAATTGATTTCGAGACCTCCTGCAAATTAAAAATTTCTTATTAAAAATGCACCTGTTCTGTCAAGGAAGTCCTCTTCATTTAATATTAAACTGAAAAAGTCATTTTGAAAACTTTCATTCACTAATTTACTGGCTATGTTTCTACAGAGCCTTCCATCCTCTTCTCACAGATAAGAATGACTCATAAAGAATCAGTCCCATTATTCACTTTCCCCCCACAAATCATGAGCAATATTCCTATTGAATAGCCAAGAAAGGCCTATGTAGAATCCCTATGCAGCCTTGTATCAACTGTATCATATGAATGTGTGTCATATTTAATTATCTGGCTTTTTATGGCTCAATTAAAAAAACCTCACATTTAAATGCTTCTAAATCCACATGTAGGCATATAGAAGTTAGTTGATTTTCAAAGGTCCTGAAAAGCTAGAAGTCACCCAGTTTCAAAAATCTAGGCATTTTGTCATATAGTATTTTATTCTGACACATACGTGCAGGGACATGCACATGCACAGTACTTCGATCATTTCTAAATTCATAGCAATATATTTTCTCTCTTTTTTCATATACCTATAATTGTCTGATTGGCAAAAACCAGTTGCACGCATACAGCTCAATTCCAATTTATTTGACACTAGTTTCATGCCCTTCTAACACCATTGGATTTATCCAGTCACATACCACTACTACTTTAACTAGTCACAAACGAAATGTTGGTTTTTTAAAGGCTAAGTTTAATATTTAGTGGGAAATACATTAAAGTGGATCAGGCTATAATGTGGTGAAGTTACTGTCAATACTGAAGCAGAGAGTGTTAATTTACTATTTATGCAATCCACAAGTTATACTTACTGCTAACATGAAAGGAGATTACCCTTTCACCCACTCCAGCTTTGTTAGTAGCCATGCACCTGTACAAAGCTGACACATTTGCTGCTTGAATCACAAGAGTGCTTACAGTCTGCAAGAGAATAACCGAGAAATTTCATACAATATCAGTGCCAAAGTACACAAGGGAGATAGACCAGAAAACTTTTGGGTGCATTTCTCACATAATACAAATTAATGATGTTCTTGGTACCCAGTTCATATTGCGGTTTATGAAACATAGTATTGATGGCTACATTTTCACAAAACAAAAGAAACCAAAAGAAAGAATCAGATTCTTTTTTGGGTCCATTCTAAAATGTAGATTTCTGTTTATGTATTTGAGAGCACATCTATATGAGATGCTAGAAGCGCAGTAGACTAATTCTACTGCACATTAGCATGTCATGGCAACAGCCATGCTAATATGCAGTAGAATTAGTCTATTGTGCATTAGCATCACCTAAAAGACGCATGCCGGCGCTACTGTGCAGTAGCACCTGTAACAATGCATTAAGTTAGTACCTGTTACAGCTACTAATGCGCTGTAATTATGGCACATTAATGCACATGTAGACATGGCCTGAAAACAGAATTATACTAACATTAGCAGCATGTAACAACTCTACTTCTGCTTGTTAGACCTTTTCCTATTATGGTTCAATACAAATACATAAAACTCAGTATAAAACTCTCAGAAGCTGTCTATTCCTAATGAGCATGGACGTATATCAACTCACCTTCATTTTCCCAGCAATAGCAACAAACTGGTTTTTAACAATTTCAATCCGATTTCCACCCTTTCTGTCCAAGATGTCCTTCCATTTTTTACATGCATAAGGATTATTTCCCAAACCTGCTTGACTGACAGACAGACAGATGGACACAAGTATGGATAAAGAAAATCTCAGTGCTTCAAGGACCATTTTTGTTCAGTTTATATATTAAATACATAAGCAATTAAATTAAATTAAAAAAAAAAAATCAAGAGACAAAAGAAGAGGCATTGTATATAATGTGGGAGATAAAAGTTTGTTCCTGAAAACTTTTCTATTTAATTGCAACCTACAACCTTTCCAAGACCTTTGGTGCTTTATAAAAATAGAAATTCCCAGGCCTAGAGGTGAATTTCCTAATTAATCTACTCAGGTCAGCCCAATCAGGATATTTTGAGGGAAGGAACTATTCTGGGAACAGGCCTCCTTTCACAAATTGACAATTCAAGTTAATTTAGTTTCAAAGGAAGACAGAGAGACGCAAAAAAAATCACTGGCTCCTCAAAAGAATTTCTTCAAGACAGTTGCCCTTGTGTAGGAAATAACCAGGCACCAAAGGAAGAAGCTAGTGGAAGTTTTTTTAAAAACAACAACAGGAAAGCGGAATGCCTTTTATTTTTTTATTTTTTTTAAGGAAGTCTGGCCTTGTGCTAGGCCCAGATAAGGGAAGCTGCATGGATCTTGGTCAGGAGCTCTCTCTATCATTCCCTGACATCAATCAGTGCGCACTTCCTCTCAGCTACACTTTCACACAGATAAGAGGCAGCATCACACACAGCAGCTGACCAGTGTAAGAAAAGACACAAAGAACTGTAATTAGCATAATACAGCAATTTTCCTGTTTTGGTGTCATGTTTGGGACTTGCTGCTGCCCAGCAAAGTTTGACGGAAGGGCACCCGATGCTTCTGTTTGGAATCCAGCAACAAGCCAAGATGCTAGCCAAAAAGGCATCAAATACTATAAACAACTGATAGGTTCTCTCAGTGGGTGATCCTGGCCAGAAAATACCCACTACAGCAGCCTGCCAGCCTGAGTTTGGTGATCTTGGTATATCATATAACACACTTGTTTGATCAGATGTATGATTAATTTTAACTGTTTTGCAGCCCGAGAGAAATTTAAGACTACCTACCCTGCTATAATCAGTGGGAGCATTGGCATAGAGGGAAGTAAAAAAGAGACATATTCGGCTATATTTTCTGGAAGCAACTGTTACTCTGAGAAACTGGCAGTGCTCCACAAGGGAAGATACAGCCACTAGACAGGTACTGTGCATTAGGAACTGCCTCGCACAGGGGAATCACTAGGTTAATTTGTATTCATGACCCCTTTGCATTGCAGAAATGCCACCCAGGATTTCTGTTTCCTGGGTATCTGATTTTGAATGTTTTTATAGTTTTGTAAAGAGCTGAGCTGTTAAGACAATAGACCAACAGGCATTTTATAAACCTGTGAGGAGTTACAGAGCTGACAGTAAGTAGTTCAATTGGCAAGGTGTGTGGTACTTACTGAGGGCTGAAAGTGCACTCTTCCTCTAACTGCCAGTACCACCGAATACTGACCGGCGCTGGAATGGCATAGACTGTGCAAGTGAGCACTTGAGTACTGCCGTACTTGTAGGAATCAACAGGTGCCAGCAAAGCATTCTCCCCGATCTGAGGTGGAACTGAAGGACAAAAATCTGCATATTATTGACCATGAAGAAAGAGAGAAATTCTCTGCCTTCTGTCACCTCTTCTTACTGAGGAAGAATAGTTTGTTGTGAGAAGTGTATTGTATCTGTCACACGGACTCACTCACTTGAACTGTTGTATTTCTTTTAAGATTTCAACCTGCGTGCTGCTGGGTTTCTCCTGCAAGATGCTGAGTATTCTTGTTCCCCACTGACTTCACTGGGAAGCAAAAGTATCAAAGAGGAGGTATTCTGCCTTCAGCAGAAATTAGAAAGTCTCTGCAAGGTGCAGCACCAGGGTCTTGGGGACACACTGATTAGCAGTGGCAATGTGTAAGGGGTACAAGCCGGTGCACGTGCACTCCGAGATTGGCGGTGCACCCCCTGAGAGAAGCTCCATCAACACGGGCCACCAGCAGGAGCTCCCTGCTCGCTGCCGCCATGCCCTGACCTGTAGGCGATCACCATACCACCCCCCCAGCCTTTCCCACTATGCTGTAACCACGATCCTGCTGTATTTAGCCACACTGCCATTTTGAAGCCCTACTATTTTTTAAGCTCTCAGACTAACCAGGTTTCCTGAGGAGCAAAATGGAAGAGGGGCTTTGGGAGTGGAACAGAACAGAACAGAACTGACAGCCCGAGGGGGGCAGGAAGGATGGGTGAGGCAGACCAGGATGGCGGGGAAGAAGTCATGATGCAAAGTGGGAGACAGCACAGGGGACAGGAAAAGAATAAGACACAGGCCAAGAAATAATATACAAAAAAACTAAAAGAAATCCTTTCATGTAATAAGGAGAACCTGAACATGCCTTGGTTGTAGACTACAGAAAGAATATATAGTTTGTATTCCCCATCACTTAGGGTTTTTCAATTACTTCCCTTGGCTGCTGCTGCTTTTTTGTGGTAGTTTTAAATCTTTGTAATTCAGAAACGAAAGGCAGTTTAGGGCCGTAGAGATGTGGTTTATGCTAGCTATAGTTACCTGTGAATTTTAATTCAGAAAGGTTTAACATACAATATACCCTTATAAAAGAAACAGTAAAAAGACCACAGCCATATGCAACTTACCATTCACAGCCAAATGAAACGTGTGTTTCATTTGCTCCTTGTTAATGGGATTTGTGAGTACTACAGTATAATTCCCAACATCCTTTTCACTTGCCTCAGTAATTGTTAATGTATAACCAAGTTTAATCGTATGATTTGTGCTGATGGCTTTTCCATTTTTATACCTAAAGGAGAATATGTAGTATTTGAATGCTTTAGAGATTCACCTGGACATGCACATAAAAGCAAGATTCGTTTTTAAAAAGGTATCACCTTTAGACTCTTACCATTTTACTTCTGGTGGGGGATATCCTGTAAACTTCACAGGAATTTTGACTTGCTCACCTAATTTTGTCTCCACCATAGACTCCATTTTATCCAGACTGATGAAAGGTTTTTCTGAAATAAATTAAATTGATAGTAATGAAATAAAACATCATGCTCGTGCATCCTCCAGCCTGAAGCTGTCCATTCCCCATCTCAAATGTTCTACAACCATATGGAACGCGCTCCTAGCTACGCAGATCTTTGCAACTTTCCCAACCCATGTCTTCTCTGTTGCCCTTCCACAGCAGTCAGTGGTTCCTTGGCACTGGAAATAGTTGACTGCAATTAAGACAAGATTCAGCTCTCAGAGATCCGCAGCAAATCTCTGTTCTGGTGCTTAAGTCTAACTACTACTGATTAGTAGCAAAATAAGCAGTGTAAACAAAGTTGAAAGTTGATACGTGTATGTAAAGTTATATAATATCTCATTTAAAACCTCTCCAATGTTCCCATTTATGTAATCATACAAAAAGGTTGTAATTGATCTATTCCAGGGAACACCAGTATTCCAAACTTTATGTGATCAAGTTAAACAGTAGAGAAATCGTTGAAATTATCTATTTGAGTACTGCAATGAAAACAACTTTGAAAGGATTTACACTATTTTTTTTGCCACACAGAAAAAGAAAAATTGTATTCAGAACAACAGTGTAACTGGCTATGTAGCAAAAATCACACATAGATAAATTTAACATCTAATACAAATCTCTAGCACTAAAGGGGTCCATTACCTATCTTTGCAGAGGAACAGACTCAATTGCCTCAAAGAGCTTTTCCATCTCTAATCACTTTCGTCAGATAAATGAATTTGAATGTACAAAGTCAACAGGCTGAAATCTGTTTCACTTATGGCTTCAACTCAGCCTCCACGAGACTCAAAACTCTATGTCTATCCCAACGTTTCCACACTCATTAACATCTCACTCAGTAAAACTCTTGATTCAAAGGGGTGGGGAAGCTTTAAAAGCCACTGGAGTTTTGGCCAAGTGAGGACAGAGAAATGATCAGAGATTTTGGCCCAACGATAATTAAGGACTTAGCCAAAGTAATTTCTTCCAAGTCATTTCCTCATAATCAAAACTGAATCTGATTTCCAGAATGTAGAAGCCAAAGGCTGCATGTTGTCACCTCACTTATACTCAGCAATATCTTCCTCTGCAGATAGTCCCACTGGAAGCAGCATCTTGAATTCTATTCAGTGTAAGAGAGTGGCAAAATCTGACCTTCTCTACACAATTTCAATATTACAGGACTATTTAGGGAGAGATTTAATTAGATGATCATCAATTTGAGTTTATTTTATTATCAGTTTTTCAAGGTTACTTTACAGTTTTCAGTGATAATCACACATGAGAATCTAAAAGTTTAATCATTAAACAGAAAAAAAAATCTGGTGGTATACAAATACTATTACTGAAAAAATAAACTAGAAGCCATGGAAAAACTGCAGCAGCAACCTGAGAACAGACAGTTCACATTACACATATTTAGGTTTCTTTACAGTAAAGCTATTGACTTTACAACCTGTTCATTTTCCATCCCAGTAATCCCTACCCAAAAATTTTTTGTGGAATTAAGCCTGAAAATTTCATACCATGGACAATGACATAAGTTCCATTTTTCTTTGTCATACGGCCACTGGATGCCAGGCAAGTGTACTGGCCTCGATCACTTAAGGTCACGTGCTCAATTGTAAGAGTGCTTACAAACTTCTTCAGTTCATTCCCTGCTGGTGTTTTTAAATCCCTGATTGTGACATGTTTACCCTATAACAGATAAAAGTTACTGAAATGCAGTTCATTCCAACTTTTCCTCTCATTCATGCAACAGGCTGATTCCTCACTTTCATGTTAATATTTACAGCAGTAACAACATTCTAGATGGTCAACTTAAAATGTCATTGTCATGCAAGTATTTCTGAAAGCTAAAACAAGGAGGGAAGCATCCCTCTTAATTATTCCAGATTAATAAATAGGTTGCCTCTAAGAAAGGGAGCAACCTTTTTTAAAAAATTGTTTTACCTGGCCAGAAGGACAGTCCCATTTGAAGTCAATTCCCACATTCAGTTCTGTCCTTACAGTACAGTTTAGAACTAGTTTCTGCCCTGCTACCAGCTCTACTTGACGATGAGGGTTCATAGTCAGGTCATAAATTTTGTATCCTGCAGGAAGCAAATGAAACAAAATATGAAAGAAAAAAGAGTACGTTAAAGGACTTAAGGAAGATACCTCTCCAATAACATGTATGCTCCCTCTTAGGAATTCCAGCCACTGGGCAGAAATCTTAAAACCCTGAGTTCAGTGTGGAGATGGGCATATAGCCAAATGAAAGGAGTGGCGATCATGTAGGCTCTGTTTGCCAGGATGGCCCTAAATTATACAGACACACAAGGTAGATCTGTTGTCATATGCAAAGCCTGAATTTAAGACATGCAGGCTAAGTGGACTCCTAGATCATTATTAACCAAAAAGCTACTTAATGGTCTCACATTGTCAGATAAAAGAGCAAAAGATGACAGTCTATCTGAGCTGGAATAAGCAAGAGAAAGAAGCCAACAGATTTCCATACACCCCCTCCAAGGTGTTTGGATCTGAGCATCTTCAGTCACTCAGTTTCTTAGAAACTGGACCAGGGTCGCGGCACTAATGTGACAGGAGGTAAAACAACCAGTTTTTTATTTTCAGTGCCACGCTCCCTTGATTTCCACAGCCGCCTAATTGCAAGTAAAGACCCATTTTCTCAAACTGCTGGTGATATTATGAAAGCGTATTCTCAAGTTCCCTTCAGTTCTGATTTGGTTTCCAGTAAGTCCACGTGCATTTAAGAGTGAGAGGATGTGTTTACAAAAAACAAATCCCTACATGCTTGAAAAAAGTAGAATCAGTATAGAGGTGGTAAGCATAGATGGCTGTGGCAGACTTTCCCTTTAAATACAGCACTTTTGGGATGTGAAAGGAGTCATATACATTAAACCACACATTTTGTATTACCTGTTACTATTCCTAATCTACAATCCAAACGGATTTAATGGATCAATGTGTCGCATAAAGTAATATAACACTGGATAAAACAATGGCCATGCAGAATAATCTTCAGCTTACCTACAACCACAACTATGTACATCACAGACTGATAGCTTTCATCATCTATTTTAGCTTCACAGAAGACCATGCCTGCATAGCTGATCAGGTTACTGGGAATAGTGAAGCCTTTTTTATTATCCCATGAAATCAATTTACCATCAGGAATGAATATCTTTTCTGGATACCTCTGTTAAAAATATCATTAAAACATCCAGTCAAAACCCAAAATTAAACAAATCCAAAATGTCACATCTAAATTTGTTACAATATTGTGGGCCCAGGCTTAACATCCTGGCTCAAAGTTCTCATTACAGTCAGTAGATTTTTACTTGAGAAATGCAAATTGAATTATGAGTACAGTTAAAACATTATTATTTTATTAATAGATTTCATAATTCCCAAAGAATTTTTAAGAGGTCTATTTCAATCTGTTGTACTTATGTCAAGTTGGCATTAGCTAACTCTAAATACAAGTAATGAAATAGTATTTTTTTCCTACCGCATAAAGTGATACATTGAGGTTTGATACAGTTCCAAGACATGGTATCACCACTGTTTTGTTCCTTGTGATGTATATAACACCAAGCTGATCAGTCACTGAAGTCACAAATGGAGATCTGTAATCTAGAAGAAGATTTTATTTGTAAATACCCACCACATTTTTGGAGTTGAGCCATGCTATTTTGAACTCATTTCCCCCCACCATTTTTCTTTCCATTGTTTCTCTCTTTTTAAAATATATATTCAATTTTATCCTTTTCTATTTGACTAATATTTGTACTTTTCTGGTATGCTTATTTGAATATTTCCTTTTTTTGCAAAACTAAGAACGCACCAATGGCAAAACATTACAATTCTAGAAACAACACCCCTAGCTCTACAGTCTTTACTCAGGCAAAACTCCAAGTCAACACAGGTTTGCCCGAGTTAGAACTACAAGAACATGGTCTGATATAAAAGTTACAGCAGCTAAGGGCTGTATAATCTCCAACTGATGGCTATTCTTTTTCCTTTTTTAAAAAAATGTGTGCACGTGTGTGTACGCGCACCTTTGGACCACTAGTCCATACACATTTCAAAGCTCTGTGTAGTTCAGTAAAAAAACAAACAACTGTGCAAACCAACTGTGCAGAAATAATAGGTACTCAGCAAAAATAGGTAGATGCTTACTCTCCAGTGGGTATGTAATGAGGTTACTGAAGGCATTGCAAGTAAGCCTGAGTTTGAAAACTTAGCCCTTCTAAGTCTAGAGGTGTTTCCCTGTAAGAGTCTAAATGCAAGACAGATCAAATTCCACCCTTGATTTCAACACAATCCTATTACATGGTATCTATCTGCACAATGTGCACATAACCTGTATTTCTCTTATTCATGAAACTCCTATTGAAGACAACATCAGTTCTTCATATAAAAACAAATGCAGAAACAGACCTAGCTGAAAAACGTTGGATAGGGTCTCGAGGACTGTATTAGCTTAATTTCCATAATTACAGATTTTATTCAACAATTATGGGGACCAGGACTTCTCCATTGACAGTAACTGGCATACGAGTATGTCACTGTCATGCACAAATATTTGCATCTAGAATATTAACTGCACAAGGCTGAAGATGATCCCTTGTACCACACCTGAAGAACATCTCTAAAATCTGCCACTGAGAAGAGCAGCAGTGATCAAAGATCTCACAATTTACTACTACAAAACATTTCTACTATCACAACTAAAATACATGCTCTGCTGCTGCACTGTTCTGCTTGTTGCTCCACCCACATCTATTAATATGCCGGTAAATGCATCTGTATGAACTGCACAGAACTAAGAGAGATGACATAAAACAAATGGATATGAACTTTCACACAAAACCCCAACAGAGCAGAAATGTGATTAACCTTTTGCTTCAATTTTTTCCCAGTACGCTCCTGCATTTTCTGATTGAGAATGGAAAAGGGAGGACTAAAAAGCCATAAGATCTTATTCCTGCAGAACATGTAGCTCAACCAAATCTAGGAGTTGCTACAAAAATCTCACAAGAAAAGTCTGATCGCCACCCATTCCTTCACTGCTGTGATGAGACTTCCCTCCCCGTTTGTTGTAACCACTGACAATATGCGCATGTTAAGTAAATACACAAACAAAATGAATGTATGATTTGTCCATTAAAAATGGATACATATTTGTGTTTTTATTTTTCTTGAAACCTTAGAAGAAAGTGGAGAGACTACTATTTTCTTTTAAAGCTGGAAGTCTTAACATGCTATTTTTTACGCACATCTGTCAAATATGTTTCCTTACTGTGATCAAAGCAGTGAATATTAAATCAACGCAAAGCTGCCTGAAAAGCGAGACACCTCTCTTCCAAATTTCTTTTTTATCTTACCAATAGGTAGAAATCTTTTAACCACTTACCTTGAACATAGACATAAATGCTTGTGCTTGCCTGGTTGTCTTTGTAAAGGCACTTGTATGCCCCAGTGTCATTACTTATTACTTTTGTCAGAGTAAGCATCTTACAATAGAGGCTGTCATTGCAGTTTGTCACGGTGACACGTTTCTCAGAACTGCTCTGATTGTTAGGCCAAAACCATTCCACAGTTCTTTGACCACTAGGAAAACAAATTATGGAGAAGTATAAGGACAAGACTGGCTATGGAGTTACGCCATATCAGTAAAATTCAGTCCCATAGTCCTTAAATAGCCCCTTTTAACACAATGAAAAACAGCTTACCTGCAAGTAATTTTTAATGTATCATTTGCAGTTACTGTAAGGATATCTTTTTGGATGCTAAGGGTTGGCTGATCCAGGCCTACAGAAACATCAATAAACGAATGAGCCAAAAGCCAGTGAGACTCAATAAGAAAAAGCACAGGATAAAAGTGTACATACAGGCTATTTTAAGTGAACACCTTTACATAACGTGTTAACCTGTAATGGGCAAATAATCACTTTTCACATATCCCAGTAAGTTCAAGATCTGTCATAACAGGAAGAATAGGCAGATGGTCATGAGCTAGCAGAATAGCACTACAATTCATAAAGCTAGGGTGGAGTTCCTGTTTTCTTGCATTGCCAACTTCAAGGTCTAACAAGAGGATATGGGACATTGAAAAAAAGTGAACCTTCATCTGATGATCTCACTCCCTTGGGAAAAAGCCTACCAACTTTACTTACAATAAACTGAACATATACATTAGCCATGGCTGCCGATTAATAAATACTAATAGGAATCATTTTGTGCAATGATGGTCCTTCTTTGAGCAGGGGGTTGGACTATATGACCATCTGAGGTCCTTTCCGACCCTAATTTTCTATGGTTCTATGAATGCATCATAAGCACAAGGTCATATGAGCTATTGTTGTTTTCCTTGCTCACTTTTTCCCCTGTCGCGGGAAAAATTATTCCTATTTTATTTGTGCGAGTTGTTCCATTGTGTCCATTGCGTTTAGTGGGAATCCTTGTGTCACCGGGGTTGCAAAATCAGTTCCACTTCAGTCTTAGATAACTGTCTGGTGAGGCAGTTTGCGTAATATTGTAAATAGCACAGAAAGAGACCTTTCTAGCACTGATTCCAATAATTCCCAATAGGAGGGAGTCTCTCTTGGTATGGGATGTCTAAAGAGGAAATAAGTCTAGCGAGACAGAGCTCAGATGAGTGGCAACTTGATTATTATTAGTGACAATACGATAAGCTTATGTCTGTAATGTACAATATTTTCCCAGAATTTCTATTATAATCTGATCAAACTCTACCTTCTCTATTGCCAGTTTCACATATTTGCACTTTCTTCTAGAAAACCATCACTACTAGAGATACAAGCTGGCTTGCTTTCTCTTGTATAGTATCATGCAGCTATTTTTCCTCATAATAAGCATCAGAACTAATGTTACACCTATCCCATTTTCCAGGTAATCGCAAACAAACCAGCCCAGGCCAAACCCTGCCCTCAGGTGCACATCTGCAGTCCCCAGTGGCTTCAAGGAGAGCTGTTATATAAATAAATAGCAGAGCATCAAACCTCTGGAAGGGGTGTATTTGAGGATGGGAGGGAAAGGGGTTACTGGGGGCTTCTTTTTCACCACAGAGAACATATAGCAACAGCAGACTCTCCCTATGCCTGAAGAAGGGTGTTGGAGCCTGAAAGCTTGCAAAGAACAATTTTTCCAACTATTTAGTTGGTCTAATAAAAGATACCACATTTACCCAAAGAACCTGTTCTGCCAAGGGGATACTAAGACACTTCTCTGTCAATATTTACTAGCTGAATTGAGCTAGTGATGCTGATCTATAGCCAAACTACAACCAACCACTCCCTAGATGATCTTTGGTGTTAGGCTACTGAACGCAGCATTTGCGCCTCAAGGGAGAAAAGACTGCTGAAACAGGCACGATCACATACGTAGCCATTTAGAAACCCCACCGTGGTGGTAAAGGTTGAAGAACAACTCAAGTAATCGTGCATGTATTGGCCTTAGACCAATGTGTGCGCCCTTTGTAATGTCTGTCTACCCAAAACATTCAAGCAGGTGCGGTGCGTTTGTCCCATCCATCGGCACACAGCCGGCCGCTCCGGTGCGGAGCTCCTTGCCACCGGGCGCGGGGGACGCGGACAGGTCCGCCGGGGCCGCAAAGGGATGGGACACATTGCGGGAGCGACGGGGCATCGGGCGCGACTGAGCGTGGGAGTGAGGGGCACAGCCTCGGAGCCACAGCTTCGAGAAGGGCCGGAGGCTGCAAGTGAGAAAGGAGCGCGGGGAAAGCCCTGCTGCCCCTCTCTGCGGCACAGGGTCTGACCCAGCCCTTCGGAAACTTTGCTCCAGCCGGGGACCCACCGTGCTGCTCCTGGGGCTGCGGGGACTGCTCTGGACACTGAGGGGCTGCGCTCGCCACCCAGGGGAGGCTACGCCCAGCTCTGCCCTGCCCCATGCATCACCCTTCCTCACCCACGCCTCGGGGCAGGGCCGAGCGCTGCCGCTCGGCTCCTGCCCCTGCCCCTGCCCCTGCCCCTACCTGGAGCCAGGCGGGAGCCCACGCCGAGCCACAACGCCAGCACCAGCGCCAGCCTGGGCTGCATCATCCGCCGCTGCCGCCGCAATCCGGGGCCGCCGCGCAGCACCCGCCCGCGCACCTGTGAGGCCACCACTGCCTGCGCGCTGCCCGCAGCGCCGCTATTTTATATAGGGGCGGGGCCTAGTTTGCCGTGGCCCCGCCCCCTGAGTCGGGCCCCGCCCCCTCGCTGGGCGCCCGGGGGTGCTGAGCCCCCGCAGCCCTTCTCCTGCCCGGAGATCTGCCTCAGCCCCTGGCCGCAGCGGTGAAGAGGGAATCACTGGTGATTTGGCCCGATCAGGCTGGCGCAGGGCAGGGCAGTGCCCTTGCAGGTTGGGCAGGGCAGTGATTCTCGACCAGGGGTGACCTGAGCTCCTTGCAGGGGTGCCACAGGGTGCCAGGCAGCGTTGGGTGTGCAAGCAGGATTGACGTGAAAACTGCAAACAGTGGTAGCGCCATTCTGGCCCGTGGGTGCCTTCCGGGGGTCTTGGCAGCAGAACTGCTCTCTCTTTTTTCCGTAGTCCAAAAAAAAAAAAAAAAAAAGTGAAGGCTCCGAGCTGGCATGTTCCCAGGGCGCCTGAGTTCAAATGGGGGCTGCCTCGCTAAACGCAAAGTGAAACGATGCTTGCCGGTGAAGGCTGCAGAGCGTCCCTGTGAGAAGGTCTCTGATGATCCCACGAGCCTAGGACAGGAGCAATCAGAAACAACATATCCTTTTGACCACAGTTTCTCAGCAAAATCCAAAAATACACTACATTTTCTTCACAGACTCTTCTGGGGAAATTCACTCGCTGGTTAGATGTGGCTGTCAACTGGAAAACAGCAAGTCATAGAAATTATTTCTCAAGAGCTATATGATTTCACGCTAAAGAAAGTGCCTGGAATCTGCCAAAACTTTGGGAAATCCTCAAGGAAGAGGACAGTATTTTGTAACAGGAAACTTCCTAGTTTTAATCTGTGTAAGCTTGAGGCACCTTAGGAGTCTTGATCCTCAGAGGATGAATGCACATGATTTTCTGAAAATCATTGCCACGTAAGAGAGCATCTCTGACTGGCTCCACAAAAATGGAGGTGCTTAAAATCTCTGGTCATGTTTTTGTAAAATCTTGTACCTAATCCTCAACAAAAATTCCCAAAAGAGCTCTGACGCATTCACATGGTGGCCTTGTTCACATACAGTAAGCTGGATGTAGCTTATCTCAAGCTGGTCCAGGTGCCCAGATACTATATCACTGACTGCATATGGCAACATCCATATCCTTAGATCTGATATAATTTATATATTACCCCGATGTGTCTAGTACGTCCCTTATGATTGAGTTACCTGAATCCTGGTCCCCCCTTATTTCCTGTAAGATTGAGCATTTTACCTCTTCTTACTAATGTCTAGATCCAGGTCTATTTAATCAGGCAACAATGCTATTGATATGATCGGGGTATAAATATGTTGGAGTAAGTCCTGCAGGATTTGGTTGTAATTATTGATCTAATAAGATCAGGGTGATGTAAACAGGCTCCAGACAGTAGGTTCTTCTCCAGAAATAAAGTATAAGAATGGAGTGTTACTTTCTTAATTAAAAGGATTTTTTTTAAGATGACTGTAGTTGAAACATAAGTGTTCAAATAAGTGTTGGCAGAAGTTTTATGAAATATCCTCCTTTAGAGAAATAAAAGCATTCATACAAATAAATTTTAGTTGTGCATAATTTGCTCTGGTTGATATACTAATGAATCTGCATAAGATTCTATCCACCAATGAATTAGTCAATGAGCCTGTAATTTTACTTTGAGTGCTGTGCAATTTCAGCTCTCCCACTGTATTGGGGGACTGATACAATTTCCACTGAAATTGCATCCCTCCTGCTGACAGAATTCTAGTGGGAGTGAGAAAAGCTAAGTTTCTAATTCAATTTTTTCCCAAAGTTCCAATAAACTGCATTACACCTAAAAGAGTCTCTTGCATCAAAAAGAGTGAAGTGAGCCACACTCAGACAAGAGTACACTGTTGCCTTACCCCTGACAACATTTTATTATTTAAGGCTAAAAAATGTTCAGGCCTCATTACAACATTTCCAGTATTACATGTGTGGAATCAGTAGCACTGCTGAGTGATTCTTAGAACTCTGGGTTCAACTGCAAAACAATTGTCCATTGCTGAAACTGGTTAGCAAACAAGTTTATATTCACGAACTAGTAATCAAAACCTAGCAGGAACCATTGATCCTATGGATACCTAAAGAATCTCCTTTGCTAACTTTGGTCTAGATCAGTGAAGCTCAGTCAGAGTGCTGGGGTACCCTGGGGTGCCACCAAATCCTTTGAAGGGTGCCCTAAGGAGTGAGGAGATAAGCAGATAAGTGCAGGCTCAAGCTTGCTCCTGCCTGGCAGATCCCCCACCCCTACTGTCTGGCCACTCTGCAAAGAGGTAAACACTGTAATATATAAATTAGTTTTTGAATTTGGCTGCCACACAATTCACACAAGTTATGGAGGGGTTCCTCAAGTCCAGTGAGGGATGAGTTAAGTCCAGTGAGGGGAGCATCCAGTCCAAAAAGGTTGAGAACATCTGGGCTAGATTGTGATTTATAGCGTGCAGCTACGCAGAAGAGTAATGGCAAGTTTAAAAAATGCCCTTAATTCATGCATAGGCTGGAAGGACCTGGGGGGGTTCAGGCATTTGGGGGTAACAAGACACATCACCAGAGAAGATGGGTGGGAATGGAAGAGCCATGACTGATCTGTTGTCGGGCATGGGGGCGTAAATTCCTGATGGTTAAAGTGAGTGACAGCTACTAATTTCTCTCTAGAACAACTTGGAGTCACAAAGAAAATTGGGTCTGATAGTTTGTCTCTAGAACTCAATAATTTTCAGGCTTACATCTTAGATGCTGCAATGTTGAAAGCACACCTGTTTAGGTGTTTCTTGCCTTTAATGATGGTCACATGCATAAGCATGTGTTTTTCATATTTATTTCTTCATAAACAGTAAAGCAAAGATAGAGGGTGAGATTTTCAGAAGCATGTAGTTGACTTAAGAGCACAACTCCCACCCAGTTCAGTTCAATTCAGTTCAAACTCACAGGGAAAAGGGAAGTCAAACAGTGGTGCTAATTGAACTTTCATCCAAATGACAATTCAAATTAAAATGTAGTTTTATCATAACCAGATACTGCTGTAAATAAGCATTGGCAAAGCATAGGATGTGTATGCGGGTGCACATGCACGCCCTCAGTGTCACAGTGCACCCCCTGCAAAAAGGCACAGCAGTCACTGTTGGCAGCACCTGCAGGGGGTAACCACTCACCACCCTGCCCCACTCGCCACCAACACTGCCAGCAGCATCTGCAGGTGGTCCATGATCGCTGCTGGCTGCCACCACCACCAGCGGCATCTGAGGGTGGTTGCCGACTGCTGGTCGGCACTTGCCACCTTCACCCGCCACTGACAGCACTGCAGCTGCCTGTGGGAGCTCCCCACTTGCCACCACCACGCTCCTGCTGCCGACAGTGCCACCACTGCCTGCTCTGGGGGCACACAGCATTCACGTAAATAAGCATTGCTTTTTCTTTCTGTATCAGTATCTTAATGAATCTTACTTGGATGGAATGATTTAAAGAAATAGATACAAGAAACAAAAGAGAGGTAGTTACCAGTGTTTGTCTGAAGTCAGGCAGTGGGCAGGGCAGGGTTGCACTTAGCACCAGTTTTCCTTCTTTAACACTCCCACACTCCCATTTTAAGTGCCTTTAGTACATTGTAACTAACATGTAACTAAGCCCTTAGAGACTAACACATTCAGAAATGCATAAGCTTTTGTTGGCCTACAGAAGCTTATGCATTTCTAAACAAGTTAATCTCTAATGGCACCTTTATATGTGCTCCAGGATGGGAGCCACTCTAAATAAAGCACCCGCAGCATCTCGTGTAGTCAGCATCGTGCACTTCAAAATAGTGCATTTAATGAGCTTTAGTTAAAGTGCTCCCACCACCATTTTGAAGTGCACGGACACAGAATACGTGTGATGCCGAGGTTGCTAGAATGTGCTAATCAGCGCACGCTGGAGCAGGCATTGGGCATATGTGTAAGTGCTCTAAGTGCCACCCTGCCCTGCCTGCTGCCTGTCTTCAGACTAACACTACTCACTATCTCTCTTTTTTCCTCGTGTGTTTCTTTCAATCAATCTCCCAAAAAGGACTCATTAAGATAATGATTGCAAGTTATAACTTCCAAGAAGGGTTCACCTTAAAAACAGTTAAGCCAGTTAAGGGAAAAAAATAAAATTAGTGATGAAATGAAAAACAGTTGTATATATTACAGGGTCCAAACAAATTATTTTAGTGTAATACATTTGTAACTCACTTTATTTCTTCACATATACGTGCACATGTGTTAGGACAGACTTCCTACAAATACTGTTCCTTAAAAAACATGACACTATATTGAATTATTTTTAAAAGTAATTTATAGTATTTATAACAATATAATTTAAACAATAGATTTAAACCATTTCACCTTATATAACTTCAAGAAGCAATTTTCTGAAATTCAGTCAAATGACGGCAGTTTTAATTTATTGACTCAGTGTATATAAAATGTGAATTTTCAACTATAATGTTATTATGCCAGGGTTTGGTTTGGTTTTGATTTTGGTTGGTTGGTTGGTCTGGAATGAAGAGTTTAGAAGGATCAGGTAGACGATAATGAGCCCAGGAAGTCAATTGACTCCCTCAGCACTGCCTGACTAAAAATGCTGCTGCCAGGCAGTTGTTTTTAAACTTTGAGTGGACCAGGCATCACAGAAGCAGGGTGTGCCAGTGCACCACTATACCCCCGTGGATCTGCCCCTGGAGAAGAGGTTGTCTTTGGGAATGGCAAGAACTTGAATAAGGAGAAGGCAAATAACTAACATATAAGAAATGGAAAATTGATCTAAGCCCCTGTCTACTGTGGCAGCTACATGAAATTAGATGACTAATCATCATGGCAAGGTTGAAGTGCCAATGGGAACAGTATTTTTTTGTAAAACTAAAAAAACACAACAACTCAAGACGTGGCCAGTCATCATCTT